TCTTCTGATGTTCTTATCAGGGGAAGGCCTCAGCCTCTGTGCCCTGCTGTTGGCTCTCCAGAGGAACTGGTTGACCACTATGTGAGATGAGATGCTGGACTAGATGGACCCTCACTGGTCTGATCCAGCAGGGCTCTTCTGATGTTCATATCAGGGGAAGGCCTCGGCCTCTGTGCCCTGCTGTTGGCTCTCCAGAGGAACTGGTTGATCACTATGTGAGATGAGATGCTGGACTAGATGGACCCTCACTGGTCTGATCCAGCAGGGCTCTTCTGATGTTCATATCAGGGGAAGGCCTCGGCCTCTGTGCCCTGCTGTTGGCTCTCCAGAGGAACTGGTTGACCACTATGTGAGATGAGATGCTGGACTAGATGGACTACTGGTCTGATCCAGCAGGGCTCTTCTGGTGTTCTTAAGTACCAGCCCTGCTCAACTTTCAAGCTCTGATGAAATCACGCCGTGCGCGTATGCCAAGTGCCGTCGAGTCACTTCGGCGTCATGGCAACCCTGTGGATGAAGGGCCCCCAAACATCCTGTTGTTGACAGCCTTGCTCAGGTCCTGCAAGCTGAGGGCCTTTGTGGTCTCCTTGGCTGAGTCCCTCCATCTCAAATTGGTTCTTCTCCCTCTTCTCCTGCTGCCTTCGACTTTCCCCAGCATGATTGTCTTTTTCAGGGACTCTCGACTTCTCATAATATGACCAAACGCTGAAGTACAATAGCCTCAGTTGAGTCATTTTAGCTTCTAGGGAAAGCTCAGGGTAGGGCCGCTACACATCTAAGGTAAAGGTTTCCCTTGCTCGAAAGCCAGTCGAATCTGACTCTAGGGTTGCGGTGCTCATCTCCGTTTGCAAGCCAAAGAGCCAGCGCTGTCCGAAGACGTTTCCGTGGTCATGTGGCCGGCATGACTAAACACCAAGGCGCACAGAACGCTGTTACCTTCCCATCAAAGCGGTGCCTATTTATCTACTTGCAATTTCTTGCTTTCGAACTGCTAGGTTGGCAGGAGCTGGAACTAGAGACGGGAGCTCACTCCGTCATGCGGCACCCGGTCTCGAACTGCTGAACTACCGACCTTCCAAATCCTGCAGTTCAGCGTCTTCACCACTTGAGCCACTGCAGCTCCTACACGTCTACCTGGACCAAAATTAAACTGTGCCAGTCGTATTGCTGAAGGAAGAGATCTCGAGGGCCACCCCACCCAGGTCAAGAGCTGGACTGTGGCACCCACTCGGTGGCTCGTGGAGAGTCACATTCACAGTTACCTTCAACCCCAAAGGACACGCTGACTTCCATCTGTCAGGGATGCTTGCAGGTTACCAGTTTCTCTGGCTGCAGCTACTTCGAAGTAGGAACCACCTGCCCACTTCAAGCGCCACCAGGCAAGGGCCTGGCTTCATTTCCTGAAACGGGGCGAGTGCAATGCTGGGGAACAGTGCCCAGAAGAGCCACTAAGTGAGTATTGCTGGTCTTGAACGATGCATATCCTGCCTGCTCAGGAAAAATCCCCTTGGAAAGGCCAGTGAATTCTCTTGGGCCCCCCCATGGTTTATGATTTTTAGCAAGCCAAAAGGGAAATAAGTTGGATTTATCCTCTTCCAGAGAGATTCTGCAGATCAAAATGTTTAAGACATTGGCTGGTTATGAAACCAGGAAGTCTCCTTAAAGATAAGCAGGAGTGGAAAATGCATTTTAAGTGCCAGAATCCAAAGTGGACAGAGAATCACAGAGCTGGAAGGGGCCCTACAGGCCATCTAGTCCATCCCCCTGCTCAGTGCAGGATCAGCCTAGAGCATCCCCAACAGTGTTTGTCCGGCTGCTGCTTGAAGACCACCAGTGAGGGGGAGCTCACCACCTCCCCAGACAGCCGATTCCACTATTGAACAACTCTTGCTGTCAAAAAGTTTCCCTAATATCCTTCACGCCCTTAATTTAAACCCATGATTGCGAGTCCTTTCCTCTGCTGCCAACAGGAACAGTTCCCTGCCCTCCTCTGTCGGCCCTTCAAATCCTTCAAGAGAGCCATCCTGTCCCCTCTCAGCCTCCTCTTGTCCAGACAGAACATTCCCAAGTCCCTCAGCCTTTCCTCACAGGGCTTGGTCTCCAAAGAAGACACACTATGGTTGAAAACTACTGCAGCATTCCGAATAGTGGCCACTGCAAGATATTTGAACAAGGGGTGAACTCAGCTTTCCAACCTCTCTGATCCATGTTCTCCGTGTTGTCCCCCCGGGCTTTAATCTAGAGTTGTGGAAACTTGAGCGGCAGTGTTAGAAGAGTCAAACAGCAAATATATACAAAGAGATGTATTATTATATGTGATCTCTGGAAGATTTGCTGTAGTTTTGATTTATAAAATGTATGTGGAAGTATTTGGTTTATGGAAAATGAAAATAAACATTGAAGAAGGAAAAAATATATACACTGCAAAAACCTTTTTTATAAGTTAAAGTGTTCTATAGGTTCCATCTTATAAAGTGCACTGTGTATTATTCATAATATTCTAAAACAGGTATATAACAACCAGGGGTCATTTCCTGCGGAAGCACACCGGAGCAGAGCTCCGGCAGTAAGGAGCCCAGGGGGCGGGCACATGCAACAAGCCCCACCCCCTGTTCTCAGCAGCCCTCAGTTGGGCGAGGAGGAGCAAGAAGCAGCCAGGTAAGTTGCAGAGCCCCCCCCCCCCCCGCCCCCCCCCGGCACACACCCCCCCCCCCTTCTCTACAGGGAAGGTGCGAGCCCCCCCCCCCCAGCCCACCTTCAGGTACAAGCTCTCCCTCCTCTGTGAGGGCAGATCTACGCGTCCCTGTCCCCTCCATAGCTAGTAATCCAAAACAGTCCAGTGGCATCTTTAAGACCCAAGTTTTATTCAGGTACAAGCTCTCCCCCCTCTGTGAGGGCAGATCTGCATGTTCCCCCCCCCAATAGCTAGCAATCCAAAACAGTCCAGTGGAGCCTGAGCGGTGGGTGTTGCCTTCTGACACACTTCAGGTGATGTCCGGCTGTGTGGCATATGCTAATAAGTTATGCTAATAAGTTATGCTAATGAGCTCCTGCACCTCTTTTTCTATGAAATGACCCCTGTCAGTTTGTATAATTGAATAGCTACCAGTCAATTTACATCCTTTTTACACAATCAACCCGAACGGGAGCTTCTGGAATTGTACACCCGCTTCTCCTTGCTTGAAAAGTCTTCTAAAGGGGGAAGTTTCCTTTTGTATTGAAGTATAAATTGATGTTTGTTGCTGGTCCTACAATAGGCCCATTAAGCAGCTGGCATTCATAGACGGAGCACTCCTGTCTTTCTCAAGGCTGCCTTGGGCTCCACTAGGGTTGCCATTTGTTCGACGGGGGCGGGGGTTTATCTGCTTTGTGGACCCTGATCCACCGCCACCAAGCCGGACGGTGGGGGGAACCCTGCCCCCAAAGAGCCCCATCTGCACCAACATGCCTGCCGCAATGACATCACCCAGAGGTGACGTCATCGCGCAGGGCACGTTGCGGGGGGAGGGGGATGGGACTCTAGCATTTGAAAACAAACCTCTGTGGTTACCATAGAGTTTTCTCTCAAACACTAGAGTATCCCTCTGCAATATGCCCTTCACGATGATGTCTCCTCTAGGTGACATTATTGCGGTGTGCGTGCTCTGCGTGTGTGCCGGAAACGCCAGGGCACGGAGAGTGTAATGTATCCATCCCAGACCGAGTGCGTGGCCATTTCGCCACGCGGTCATGCGAAGCGGCCGAGCTTCGCTCTCAGGAACAATGGGACCAGTGGATCCTAGCCGGCACCTATTGGCAGGCTAGGCTCCCAGCCGAGAGCCTATGGAACTCTCGGCCACTGTAAATAGCCAATCACTCGTGTGTGGGTGTGTTTGGGGAGCGGGGTTGTTGCACATATAAACCAGCCCACGAGCTGGTTAGTTTGTCTTGTTCTGAGCGGAAATAAAGTATGAGAACTGAAATCACTAGTAAGTCTCAGTACTTTTCAGAGAGGGACACCCATGCTGGCAGCCAGTTAAGACCTGGCAACCGTAGGCTCCGCCCCCCCAAATATCCAGGGATTTCCCAAATAGGGATACCAACCTCCAGGTGGAACCCGGGAAGCACCCGGAATTACACCTGATCTCCTGACTAGAAAGGTCTGTTCCCCTGGAAAAACTAGATGCTTTGGAGAGTGAACGCTACTCCACTGAGGCCCCTGTCCTCCCCAGGCTCCACCCCCAAGTCTCCAGGAGGTCCCTATCCTGGATCTGACAACCCCCCATCCCCTGCCAGTGGCCGGGGGGACCCGGCTGTTGGAAATGTATGTGTTTACAAGGTCTGACAATTCAGTCATTATAGGGTTAACTTGTTTGCCTAGTATTGCTATTGCTTAGACTGACCTGGAAGGGATACCTGGCATTGAGCCAATGGGGAATTAGCCCGGGGAAAAGTAGCTTTCTACTGTGATACAGATTGGTCATTTGTTTCAGGTGACTTCCTTTCTAGGGGTCAAGAAGAAGGACAGATTCTCCATTATCTGTGTGCTAGTGTTTGACTATAGGCATCTTAGAAAATGTAGCTGTTAGTGTTATGTTAAGTTGTAGTAATCCCGTGTACCTTTTACCCTTAGAAATAAAGGTTTTTAAAAGCAAAGAAATCTCTTCTTTCCAATAGAGCAAGATCCATTGATAGTCTGAGTATTAAACACTTTTGACTATTTTACAACACCGGCAACCCGATTCCAGAGCCAGAGCTGGTGACCCTATTTGTGTAGGAGGCCGTCTATTATGAATGTGTGAGGCCAAGGTTCTTGTGTGTTCCTGAATGACTGTCGTTGGAATCCTTTTTCTGAAACCTCACAACAGGACTCGGGTACCTATTGGCTAGTGTCTGCAACATCAAGCCTTATTGTGCCATATGGAGAAATGTGAGCGGTGTTGAGGAGCTGCGGACATCCTTCCTCACACCTGGCAGGAGGTCGAAGCCTGTTCAGAAAGGTACCAAAAGGGCTTCCATACCTCGTCCGTGCTTATGCTTGTTGTTGAGGACAATCTGCACGATGGTCCCGGAGGCCTGCTGCGGGTCTGGGAGGGCTCCTCTGTTGCTTCTGCCACCACCGAATCGCGGGATGTGGAAGGCTTGCCTGGCGCTGCTGGGAGGCAGGTCATAATGGGAGCGGTGAGGGGAGTGTCTCTGTCGGAAGAAGAAAGAGAGAACCAGAACTGCAATGTCTCTTGAAGAAGGAAGGATTTCTGATGGATCTCCTGTGTGACTTTTCCTGGAGCCCTTCTCGCAGCCCACTGGGGTCAGGTACAAATCCCTCAAATTTACTGTCTTGAAGCAAAACCAACAAACAGCATTGAGGGTACCTTAAAAACAAATGCATTTATTCACAGAATCATAAGAGTGGGAAGGTACCTCCAGGGTCATCTAGTCCAACCCCCTGCACAAGGCAGGAAATTCACAAATACCCCCTGAGAGCCAGTTTGGTGTAGTGGTTAAGTGTGCGGACTCTAATCTGGGAGAACCGGGTTTGATTCCCCACTCCTCCACTTGCACCTGCTGATGTGACCTTGGGTCAGTCACAAGATCTGGCACAGCTGTCCTTGAAAAAGTGCAGCTTGTGTCAGAGTTCTCTCAGCCCCACCCACCTCACAGGGTGTCTGTTGTGGGGAGGGGGAGGGAAAGAAGTTTGTAAGCCGCTCTGAGACTCCAAGTGAAGGGCGGGGTATAAATCCAATCTCTTCTTCTTCTTCCCGGGCAAACCAAGGGAAGGCATGGGGTGTGGCCTAATATGCTAACGAGTTTCTGTTGTTGGGTGTGGCCTATTATGCTAATGACCTCCTGCTGGGCTTTTTCTACAAAAAAAGCCCTGATTAGATTTATTTATTTATGAGTGTAATGTATCCACCGCGACCACGTGCGCGACCGTTGGGCCATGCGGTCCAGCGTTAGTTCATAGCTTCATTCCTTCGGACAATAGCCCAAGCGGATCCTGGCCCGCACCAATCAGAGGGCCAGGTCCGCTGCCGAGAGCCTATGGGACTCTCGGCTACTGTAGCAACCTATAAGGGAATTGGGGGTGTGTTTTGGTGGTGGGTTTCTGGGGCATATATACCGGCCTGCGCGCCGGTGTACTTTGTCTTGTTCTGATCTAATAAAGTACTCTTGCTGAATCACTCCACGTTTCCGAGTACTTTTCTTAGATTTCTTAATCACCCTATCCCAGCTTGTGCCGGGCTCTGGGCAACAGCTAGGGCTGGCGTTCTTCTAGATTCCACTTTACCCCAGACTTCCTAGTAGGGTAGCCAGATCCAGGTTGGGAAACTCCTGGGGATTTGGGGGTGGAGCGTGGGGAGGACAGGGACCACAGTGGGATACAAGGCCACAAAGTCCACCCTCCAAAACATCCAATTTCTCCAGGGGAAACTGATCTCTGGAGTCTAGGGATAAGCTGTAATTCTAGGGGGTCCCCAGGTCTCCCTGGAGGCTGGCTAAATCTCTGGATGAAGGATGGCTGCCTCTTACCTGTGCTTAACATCCTTGTATGAACACTTAAGGGGCTGCGGTGGCTCAGAGGCTAAGACACTGAAGCTGCAGACCGGAAGGTCTGTAGCTCGGCAGTTCGAGACCCGAGTGCCGCGTGACAGAGTGAGCTCCCGTCTCTGGCCCCAGCTCCTGCCAACACAGCAGTTCAAAAGCAAGAAACTGCAAGTAGATAAATAGGTACCACTCCCGTGGGAAGGTAACAGCGTTCCATGCGCCTCGGTGTTTAGTCATGCCAGCCAGATGACCACGGAGAAGTCTTCGGACAGCGCTGGCTCTTCAGCTTGGAAAGGGAGATGGGCACCGCTCCCTAGAGTCGGACTCGACCGGCTTTCGAGCAAGGGGAACCTTTACCTTTATGAACTCTAAGCACACCACCCAAAGCATAACTTGTACTTCCTCCATGGTACTTCCTCCAGTTTTCTAGAAATACACCAATCGTCCAGTGGCCCCGTAAAGACTGATAAAATGTATTCCAAGTTAGCTTTCATAAGCCACAGCTCACTTAATGTTCGGCCAGCAGATCTTAAACCATATCCTCCTTCACTATCGTCTTGGCTTTGAAATCAATGCAGGGATATTAATGCACAGTAAATGAGCCCAGCAGATACAGGCTAGAGTTCCCAGACCCGCCCCACCCCCCCGGCATGGGTGGGAATCCCCCGGTTTCTGGTGCTCCCCCCTCAGTGCCGGCCAGTGCCGGCCAGGTGGCAGGCAGGTAGAGTTACTGCCCCAAACGCAACAGGCCTACCTTACCAGGAAGTGATGTAGGCATGTCAGTCATGTTGGAGGGGATGGATACTGCTTTTTGGGCAAAACTCTATGGTAGAATCAGGGATCATTTCCTGCAGGAGCGCACAGGAGCGGAGCTCTGGCAGCAAAGAGCCCAGGGGGTGGGCACATGCAACAAGCCCCACCCCCTGTTCCCAGCAGCCCTCAGTCAGAGCAAGAAGCAGCCAGGTAAGTTGCAGAGCCTCCCCCCCCACCGGCTCCCCAGCCCCAAACAGTCCAGTGGCACTTTTAAGACCCAGTTTTATTCAGGTACAAGCTCTTCCTCCTCTGCGAGGACAGATCTGCACGTTCCCCTCCCCCACAATAGCTAGCAATCCAAAGCAGTCCAGTGGAGCCTGAGAGGTGGGTGTTTCCTTCTGACACACTTCAGGTGATGTCAGGGGGTGTGACATATGCAAATAAGTTATGCTAATGAGTTATGCTAATGAGCTCCTGCACCTCTTTTTCTACGAAATGACCCCTGGGTAGAATTAACTTCAAACCACAGAGTTTTGCCCCCAACCCAGAATGTGCTTCTTCCCTCCACTCTCCCAGAGTGTCCTGGTAAGTCCCCCGCCAGCTTGTTGTTCAAACCTGGCAACTCTAATACGGGCAGAGTATTTATTCCATTTACACCCCACTTCCCTCCCCTTCTCCATTTCATCTTCACTTGCAACATTCTCTCCTTCTCTCTTTTATCTTCACAACCATCTTGTGAGGTAGGTTAGGCTGAGAGTATGTGACTGGCCAAACGTCACCTGGCGAGTTTCCATGGCAGAGTGGGGACTTGAACCTCAGACCGGCTCGGATGTCTGTGACAAAATCCTGAATCATAGCTCAGGAAGAGACTTGCCGACTCTCATCCTTCCCCCCTTGAGGGACAGGAGTTCCCGCCCACTAGGACCCAAGTTCTTCCCTTTCTGCACACTGCAGACTACCAGCTCTGCATCCATCCTGGGCCTCACTAACTGAATTTCTTGGCAAGTCAGTGTCATTTGAGTCTCGCCTCTGAAATCAGCCTCCTGCCGAATATAAAATGCCTTGAGAAATTTCAAGGCGCCGATCTTGAAAATGGACACTTCGATTTCCTTTCGGGCAGATCTGTTCCTCAGCTACCTGAGGAGGCTTCAAAGGCGACAGTCTGCTTTGCCACCAAATAAAGCTCCGTCAGAAATCCTCTTGTGGAGGCGGGCTGGGCCTCGAGTTAAACTATCCCCAGGGCTATTTTGGGGCAGGAACGCACAGGAACGGAGTTCCGGCTGGCTCCTGAGTTGGCCACGCCCAGCAGGAACTCATTAGCATAACAGGCCACACCCAAGAGCAGAAACTCATTGGAATTGGCTACATTAGGGGTGTGTGGCCTAACATGCAAAGGAGTCCCTGCTACAAAAAAAAGGCCCTGGGTTTTGACAACAAACAAGGTAAACAGAATAAGAAGCAAAAGGTGGGTGTGGCTGGATGACCACACTTCTGGTAACATGTGGGGTGTGGCCTAATATGCTAATGAGCTGTGCTGTCAGGGCTGTGGCCTAATATACTAATGAGTTTCTGCTGTTGGGTGTGGCTTATTATGCTAATGAGTTCCTGCTGGGTTTTTTCTACAAAAAAAGCCCTGACTATCCCTGCCCGTGACCTTCACTTGTAGGGTTGCCAGGTCCCCCGGGGGGGGCGGGGGAACCCCTGCTCAATGGGTCCGTTACCCGCCGGCCCGGATCAGGCCGCTGGGGGGAACCCCAACCCCAAATTGCCGGGATTGCGGAGACATGCTCGGCATGATGATGACACCTGGAGGTGATGTCATCGCATCGGGCACATTGCGGGGGGACACTCTATCATTCAAGGGAAAACTCTAAGGTTTTCCCTCGAATGATTGTGGTCCCGCCCCCAACATGCCGGACACGATGACGTCACTTCCAAGGAGCTCCCGGAGAGGGCCAGGACTCCCCCCGGTGCAGCTACGGTAGGACTTGGCAACCCTATTCACTTGCCCTGCGCAACCACCCTCCCGTTGTCCAAAGGTCTCTTGCTCTCCCCGGTAACTCCACCCTTTCTCGTGCTTACGGCTGCCAACTCTGACTTGGGAAATTCCTGGAGATTTGGGGGCAGAATCGCGGAGGGTGCGGTCTGGGGGGAGAAGGGACTTCAGTGGGGTATAATGCCATAGAGTCCACCCCCCCAAAGCTGCCGTCTTCTCCAGGGGAAGTAATCTCTGGCATCCAGAGACCAGCTCTAATACTGGGAGATCTCTCGGTTCCATCTGGAGGCTGAGCACCTTACTCACGCTGCCCCTTAGGCCTGGGACCGCTTCTCAGAGGTCCTGTGTGATCCCGCCTCTCTCACGGGTGATCCTGTGTGTGGAGCAGTAGGGTTACCGCCCTCTAGGTGGGGCCAGGAGTTCTCCCAGTGTTGCAACTCATCTCTAGCTTAGAGACACCAATTCCCCTTAGAGGAAACGGCACCTCTGGGAGGGCAAACTCTATGGCATGACGTCCCTGCCGAGCTCCTGTCCAGTGTTCCCTCTAAGCTGAGTTAGTGTGAGCTAGCTCACAGTTTTTTAGCCTCCGGCTCACACATTTTTGTCTCAGCTCAGGAAGCAGGGCTCCAGAGCAAACTAGTTAAAGCAGTAGCCAAACTGCGCCAGTTGTACTCTCTCGGCCTAAGCAACCTCACAGGGTTGTTGTGAAGATAAAGAGGGAGGGGGAAGACTGTCGTATGCCCCCTGTGGTTCTTGGAGGGTGGGAGGAAAATTTGAATGTGAAAACCCTTCTTCAAAACCCACCGATTCTTTCTGCATCATGCCCTGTCTCCCTCCCTATGGAACTTAAGCACAAATGCCTCCTCTAACTGGAACAAATGCCAATTCTTCTACTGTTTATTCCCACTCCCGCATCCATCCCTTCTCTTAGTTGGCCTTCCCTGCGTCACAATGCATATTCTTGAGGATAGGGACCAGTGTTCCCTCTAAGCTGAGTTAGTTTGAGCTACCTCACAGTTTTTTAACCTCCGGCTCACAGATTTTTGTCTTGGCTCGGGAAGGAGGGCTCCAGAGCAGACTGATTTATGCAGTCGCCAAATCGCTCGCTCACAACTTTAATGCCAGTAGCTCACATAGTAGAATTTTTCCTCACAATCTTCCGCAGCTTAGAGGGAGCACTGGTAGGGACTCATTACCCTAAAGGTTCCCTTGCTCGAAAGCCAGTTGAGTCCGACTCTAGGGTTGCGGTGCTCATCTCCTTTTCAAAACCGAAGAGCCAGCGCTGTCCGAAGACGTTTCTGTGGTCATGTGGCCGGCATGACTAAACACCAAGGCGCACGGAACGCTGTTCCCTTCCCACCGAAGTGGTACCTATTTATCTACTTGCAGTGTCTTGCTTTCGAACTGCTAGGTTGGCAGGAGCTGGAACCAGAGACGGGAGCTCACTCCGTCATGCGGCACACTCGGGTCTCGAACTGCTGAACTACTGACCTTCCACAGCCTGCAGTTCAGCGTCTTAACCACTTGAGCCACTGCAGCTCCTTACCCTCATTACCCTAGGATTGCACAAATGTAACTGGCATCTGGGGCCTTGGTGCACGCAGTTAGGAATTGACCTTCACTTACGGCTTCTCTGTTTGCCGGCTGCCGGAAGATGTCGCCATCAGAGTTGTCCCACGATAATTCTCCATCACCTGAGAGTAAGAAACAGCAGTGTCAAGACTTATTGGAGGCAACAACTTTAGGAGGGCAGTGCTAGAGGTGCAAAGATGTGGCGTGAAGCACAAGCTAACTTTTTTTTTCTGGATTAAAACTGTGGCTGCTCTTCACTCTTGCGCTCAGAAAGGTGGCTCAAAGCTTGGAAAGAACTGTCTTCACATAGGGATGCCAGCTCCAGGTTGGGGAATTCCTGGAGATATAGGGGTGGCGCCAGGAGAGGGCGGAGTTTGGAGAGGGCACGGGTGCAGGGAATATGATGTCACGCACAACCGCACACAAAGACAGAAAAAACAGTAGAATAATGACTATTTCTGGGTGCGCTATTACAACAAAGGCAAAAGTAATATATATGCTCAGAGTGTTGTTATAATGTATCAATTACTTGCAATATTCCATATAAGAGATTCAATACAAAAAAATAGTTATTCCCATCCAGTATTACATACATTAGGCAGTCCTATTGGAGTGAGCAACAGCATTGAGGCAAGAGATGTTCAGAACAGTGTTCCCTCTAAGCTGAGTTAGTGTGAGCTAGTTCGCAGTTTTTTAGCCTCCGGCGCACACATTTTTGTCTCAGCTCAGGAAGGAGGGCTCCAGAGCAAACTAATGTATGCAGTAGCCAAACCGCTCGCTCACAGCTTTAACGCCAGTAGCTCATAGAGTAGAATATTTGCTCACAATACTCCACGGCTTAGAGGGAGCCTTGGTTCAGAAGTTGTTTGCCATTGCCTGACTTTGCATAGCAACCCTGGTATTCCTCAGTGGTCTCCCATCCAAATACTGACCAGGGCTGACCCTGCTTAGCTTCTAAGATTTGACGAGATTGGGCTAGCCAGAGCCACCCAGGTCAAGGCACTGTTGAGTTGCAGGCTATATTTTATGGCAATTTTGCACATTGTGGGAAGGCAGTCCTATCGGAGTGAGCAACAGCAATGCTTGGGGATTGGAGGATGCTACATTACTCTAAGGGTGCATAGGTGTTATCTCCTCGAATAGGAGGCCTCTCTTTGTCTTAACCTGGGAGCAGCCCTCTGACCCCTCTTCTCTCTCTCCCTTTGTCCTCTCCCTCTCTCACATGGCCTTCCATGGAGACAGAGGTCATTTCGGGGGGGATCGCGGGGGATCGCAGTTCCCCCGGGTGAGGTATGGGGGCGGGGCACATGACAAAGCCCCGCCCCCTGCTTCTGGCCGCCCCGCTTCCGGCCCTCATTCAGCCAGGAGGAGGCAGGAGAAGAGGGAGGGCAAGTTGCTCCCCCCCTGCCTCCCCCCACCCCTGCCTGCCTGGGGCCAGGGAGGGCCTTCGCGGGGCTTCCTTGCACTCCCGCTGGCCTTACAGGTCCACTGCCGGGCCCCTCATGCCGGGACCGTTGGGGGCGGGGTGTGTGGACTTATGACACACCTCCGGTGATGTCAGGGGGTGTGGCCTTATGACACACTTCCGGTGATGTCAGGGGGTGTGGCATATGCTAATGAGTTATGCTAATGAGTTCCTCTAGCTCTTTTTCTACGAAACGACCCCTGCATGGAGACACGTGTCTCTGCAGGTCTCTCCTGTAAATACTCCTACACACATGATGCCAGACAAGCTGGCTATTTGTGATAGGGAAAGCACTCTTTAGATTAGGCTTATTTATCTTCTTTTGACTGCCACCTGAATGTGAACTGGGTCTACTTCAATAAACGTAAGTTTCCCTCTTTTTTTTGCAATATACTTCTCGGGAGATTCATTTACTGCACTCAGTATCACGCTTCTATGACGGGGCAAAACTCTGCCATATTAACCAAAATATCCCCAGAAATCCCACATACGCTGTTGACTCTCTCTGAGTCTCGTCTCCCAGGTCGCGCTGTTCTTGCTTCCCTCTCCTGGCCTCACAACCCAGCTGTTAGAATCTCAATCCACTTTTGGTTCCTGATCCACTGTTGGAGAACCGCAGCCCTGAGCTCATGTGTGTATATATCTGCCAAGTGTGGACACACTTCATGCATCTGATGAAGTGGAAAACTCACGCCATAATAAATCTGTTGGTCTCCAATGTGCCACAAGACTCTCTCATGTTTTTACAAAAAAGGAATAATTGACAGGATGGTAGAAAAGCTGCATAAATCACGGTAATGCTGGGAAGCCTGTGACGGTAATTTAATTAAATTGAAAACGCAGGGGCTCAATTGGCTTAAACCCAAGTACTTAATTGGCTTTGGAACTGGGTGAAAATGTTTGCACATATGTCTCAAATGCTAGTCAGGCTTCCAGGGATTACAAAACTGACCCGCAGATCGTATTTCCGAAGAGTGCTGACACTTTCATGCAAATACACAGCTTTATTAGAGCCGCACAGTGAACGTAATCCGCTTGTGCCCACGTGAAAGGGAGATAGCAGGGGTGAGAACTTTTAAAAATACAGAAGTTGTTTTGAAAAAATTAAAAAAGAAGTTTCCTGCGTGGGTGGGTTTGAGGACCTGAAGCAAATTGCAGGGAGAAGTTATAATAACCTCCCTCTGGACTCTGTGCCCCTCGTACTTCAGGCCGTCAATGCTCCCTCTAAGCTGTGGAGCCTTGTGAGCAAAAATTCTGCTTTGTGAGCTACTGGCATGAAAGTTGTGAGCGAGCGATTTGGCTGCTGCATAGATTAGTTTGCCCTGGAGCCCTCCTTCCTGAGCGAAGACAAAAATATGTGAGCCAGAGGCTAAAAAACGGCGAGCTAGCTCACACTAACTCAGCTTAGAGGGAACGCTGGTGACCGTAGAGGCTGTCTATGGGTCTCGCTGGGGGTGGATTTGCAGCCTGTCCCCACTTCTCTTAAAAAACACGAGTCCCCCTTTTCCATTTTAGGGCCCCCCGGTTACCCTAACTGGGTGTGATGTGGATGATGCACTCTGAGATCTCTTTCGACACTGCACCTCTTCAGTTCCAAACCCACCATATAAGGTAAAGTTGAATACTAACCTCTTCCGAAAGCCAAAAATAGCAAATAAGGAGCGTAGACTAGGAAAGCGATGACTAGGCTCCTGTTTATCAAGGAGACAGCGTATAAAATGAACAGTGGTAAACCATAGTCTCTGTCTGGGCTCCCATAACCCTGGGGGAGGGTGGGGTGGGGGATCCTGATGCTGGCGAGATGCCCAGGCATGATGTCAGGATGAGGACCTTTTAGGAGCTGTGCGAAGCCAGCCAACCAAGAGGCAACCCAGAGCCAATATCCTGACCCTTTCTCTGCATTGGGGTCCCCAGCCTGTTTGAGACTGTGGGCCTAGGGTTGCCAGACCCCCTGGCCTAGCAGGGTTTATGTGGATTTTTTTGGGGGGTGTTCAACCAGGCACCGGCCCCGCCCCCAAGCCCAAACACCCATAGCCAGCCCTCTCCCTTCTCTCTTGAGAGAGGGGAGGGAGAGGGGCAGCTGCAGGCTGCGCACTTGAATCCCAAGTGGCATTGCCACTGGGAGATCTGGCATGTGGGGCCGCTGGCTGGAAGCACTTAAAGGGACCCCTTAAAGTGCTTCCAGCTGGCAGGGACCGGGCCCTGCAAGCCCGATCTCCAAGTGGCGATGCCACTTGGAGATCAGGGGAGCGGGGCCCGCCTGCTGGAAGCACTTAAAGGGGTGCCTTTAAGTGCCTCTGGACGGCAGGTACCGGGTGCACAGGGCTGCCGGCTGCAAGCGCTTAAAGACGGCAGCACTTAAAGGTGGCAGCCCCTCTCCCCTCTTGCAAGATTAAAAGGGCCCTCCACCTGATCGGTGGGCGCTTTAAATCTTGCAGGCTTTTAGGGAGAGGGGTGGCTGCCAGCAAAAATGCTGGGGGGGCGGGGCTTGGAGCGGGGATGTCCCGAACATGATGTGATTGTGTTGGGGATGCCCTGCCCCCTCCGGGAACGCCCCACAAAGTCCCCCACCAGGGACGAAGATGGACCTGGCAACCCTATGTTGGCCCCCTTGGAACTCTGATACAACATGGTGGGCGTGGCCACAAAATGGCTGCTGCAAGAGGCGGAGCCAGCCACAAAATGGCTGCCACGGCTTATTTTCAGTCATACATGAAGATCCTGATGTTGCGGTGGCAGCTGCTGCCAAAGCAATGTTTATTTATTTATTTATGTATTCAATGTATAGCCCGCTCTCTCGAAGACCGGCTCAGAGTGGGTAACATCAGTTCGTCAACATACAATTAAAATGTCAAAGTATCAACTAATTCAATAATCGATAAAATACATTAAAATCCATACAATACAATCAGTTATATAAAATCAAGATGGCATAAACCCAATACGAAGGGGAAATATTCAACCACTGGAGAAGGGGAACGGGAGGGGGGGGAAACAAGGGGAGAGGAGGGGGGAAGGGGGAGGCCAATCCTTTGGGTCTTACTGACCAAGACCTCCGTACTGCCCTCAACTGTAAGCCCGGTGGAACAACTCAGTCTTGCAGGTTCTGCGGAATTGCACCAAATCCCACAGGGCCCTTTCATTGTCCCCATGCACCCCCATGTCTGCCCCGCTCCGGTCAACTGGATGTGCTCTGGGAGTCCCATGCTTGGAACTTCATTTCCAGGTGCATGCAGGCCTCATTGGGATCAGAAAGGGAGTGTGCTGGGAGAAGTGGCTTGTCTCCCCCTCACGCTCTTTACCCTGCCTGGAATGGCCCCCAGGAGCTGCTATTTGCCTCATAGGGGAAATTTACTTGTAGCCCAACGGGGCAAATAGTGACTCCCCAGTGCTGATTCATGTCAGGTCCTGGTCCACATTGTGTCTATGCAGGCCAGTCCCATAGCCATAGATTTTGGGTTGGTGGGGCATGGGAAATGTTGTGGGGCAGCAGGGGAGGGGGAGGAGGGAGGGGAGAGGAGGGAGGGAGGGAGGTGGCGGCCACACACCTTCCCTGAACTCCCAGCGACGACTTCACCGCTTGGAGATCAGGACGTTTGGGAATCAGGGAAGGTTGGCGGCCAGCAGCTGCCCCTCTTCCTCACCTCCTGCAAGATGTAAAGAGCTCACTGGTCAGCTGGAGGGCCCTTTAAATCTTGGAGGAGGGGAGGGAGTGGGCGGCTGCAAGATTTAAAGGGACCTCCAGCTGATCGGCGGGCCACAGGCTCCCGTCGATCAGCTGGAGGGCCCTTTTAATGTCACAGGAGGAGTGAGAGGGGGAGGAGGGGGGAGAGGGGCAGCAGTGGTTGTGGGGCATGCCTCACATTTGAGGGGGCAGAGCCCTGAGCGGCCCCACCATAGCTACAGGCCTGATGCATGCCTGTCACCTGGGGACACACGAGGAGAATGTGACACATCGTTAGGTCCCAAGTCAGATTTCCAAGTGGCGCCAGGGCCAGCCCGGTAGTCCAAGTTGCTCGCCAAGAAGCTGTCCTGCAGTTTCAAAATTCAAAACCATCTGCTGTAAGTGCTACCGATGTATGTAACAGTCAACATGCCCCACCAATAGATATTTAAATCCGCAGACTGGGGCCATGTTGAGGGAAGGAAAATATTTCTCCAAATCTGGGGGAACCCTCAGGTCTGCAGAAGAATCCCAAATCAGTCGCCTACAACTCAGGAGACAGCTGCCTGGGGACGTGTGCTGTGAGATGGCGGGGGAGGATTACCAGGAGATTCTTCCACCGCCACCCCCCCCCACATCCCCCACCTGCTGCCGACCGGCCTACTTCCACCAGTGCCCCCCAAGCTGCTGCTGCCACCACGACAGACGCAGTGGGGGGGGGATGTGTCTGGGTGGTGAGTGAACAAGAGAGCGTTTGTGAGGCTGAGCCACTGATACTGGCATGGGCCTTTAAATGGCAGCAGTTGGGGAACTGTGGCTGGAAGGAGAGCCCACCAGCTGTGCCATCCAGAGAGACAGTGCTGGTGTCACCTATGCTGCCATGAGCGTGGTGTATGTTTTTCTAATTGCTGTGCATTCCTTCCCATGCGCTTAATTGTATCTTAGCTGTAACACGTATCTCTCAAGGCCACTGGAGGAGTTGGTGTGTCTAGAATCCGTGGGAAGCTTCTTACCTTCCCAGCTTCTGCAGCCGTTAGTTCTCTGCCAAATGCCCGTGCGCGGGAACCCATCTAATTGGGTACTACGTGGGGGGGGGGGGTTGCATACGAATGCCCTATATCCTATTACGCGCATAGGTAACCCGCCATTCCTAACAGTGTTCATGTTACTGCATCTACGGCTTTTCAATAAAAGTAAAACCTTCCTGGAAGCGTGTACTTCCGTTGTTTTGCTGTAGATCCTGACAGCTGGCGAGAGAGAACAGGGGAGGGGGAGAGGAGGCAGCAAAGGTGGGGGGGGGGATGGGATGTCCCCTCACTCACGATTTCTCATGGGTCCCTGTTTGTGCTACTAAATGCCATTTCTGAGACTGGGGGAAAGACCAAACGGATTGGCTTTTACCTCTGCAAACTGGGCAGCAGGAGTCAGGCACAGACCCTGGAGAAGAGCACGTTAACTTGGGACACGTCTTCAGACCGCAATAGACGTTTCCTTCCTGCCATTAGAAAAGGGGGGGAAAGGCAAGTCAATGCGCGATTCATTCACATATCAGAGAAGTCCAGGGCTTTTTTTGGTAGAAAACGCCCAGCAGGTACTCATTAGCATAATAGGCCACACCAACAACAGAAACTCATTAGCATATTAGGCCACACCCTGACAGCACATATGAGGCAACACCCCGGGAATGGCAGGGGCCGGGAAAGGCGGGGGGGGGGCTCTGCAACCTACCTCCCTGCTTCTTGCTCCTCATGGCCTGACTGAGGGCTGCTGGGAGCAGGGGGTGGGGCTTGCTGCATGTGCCCACCCCCTGGGCTTGGAAGCCAGCCAGAACTCCGTTCCTGTGCGTTCCTGCCCAAAAATAGCCCTGCAGAAGTCTAATAAACTAAGAACACTGAAATCAAGAGTTGTGGTCTCTACCTGACCTAGGGTTCCCAATTTCCACATAGGAAATTCTTGGAGATTTGGGAGTAGTATCCGGAGAGGGTGGAGTTTTGAGAGAGAACTCAGCTGCAAACTCAGTCTAGGACTTCTGTTTCTCCTAGACACTGTGGTCTACCATGGAGTCAGTCCTCCAAAGCTGTTTTTTCCTCCAGGGGAACTGTTCTCTATAGTCTGGCAATCCGTTGCAACTCCGAGAGAACTCTAGGCCCCTCCTTGATCTTAGTCACCCTAACATGACTCCTTCATAATGCCTGCATATAGGCTTGCCCTTTGAGCGAATCCCCATAGACGATTTGAGGAGTGGGAGAAAAAAGTGGGTGGAATAGGATTGAATTTCCCCAATGTCTTAGGGTAAAGGCCATATAGAGATTGTAAGGATTTTTAGACCATCACCCAGAAGTGATGTCACATCTTTCAGAACTCCACCCGGAAATGATGTTACATCCTCCGTGATACTCTAGGAATTTTATCAGCCTCTATGGTCTCTACCATAGAGATTAAGGGAAGTCCTAGAGAGTCACAGCACATGTGATGTCACATCCCCTGAAACAACACCCTCCCCAGGCACCACTTTCCAGATCTCCTGATATTTGCCAGTACAGGGCTGGCAACCCTATTCTTGTATCATTGGCTTTTGTGGTGACTGCCTTCTTATGACGAGCCTAAGTCCTCTTCAGGACTCTGCATGTGTGCTCATTGCAGCAGGTTTGTTTTGCATCTCAGAAAGTCTGGGCCATGGGGGCTCAGAGGTTAAGACGCTGAGCTGCAGACCAGAAGGTCTGTAGTTGGGCAGTTTGAGACCCGAGTGCCGCGTGACGGAGTAAGCTCCCGTCTCTGGCCCCAGCTCCTGCCAAACTAGCAGCTCAAAAGCAAGAAATTGCAAGTAAATAAATAGGTACCGCTTCGGTGGGAAGGTAACAGCGTTTCGTGTGCCTCGGCGTTTAGTCATGCTGGCCACGTGACCACAGAAACGTCCTCGGACAGGGCTGGCTCTTTGGCTTGGAAAGGGAGATGAGCACCGCCCCCTAGAGTCAGATTCGACTGGCTTTCGAGCAAGGGAACCTTTACCTTTACTAAGTCAAACGCACTGAATGCAGCGGGGATTTTGAGCTGTTGTGTTACTTACGGAGCAGCTGCACTGGGCACACTGGTTGGCTTGTCTGTTCTGAAAGAGTCCATCTGCCACAAACATTTCTCCGTGGTGGTATGTTGTGCCGTTGTATTCACACGACTTCCCAGTGACCTTGCTGCCCATGGAAAAGAGGGAATCATCTGGAAAGGGGAGACGGAGGGGCAGGAGAAGAGCCATGAATGACAGCAGCACAAACAGTTCCGAGTGCCCCACCACGGCCCAGTTTACAAGCTTGGACTGCAATGCTGGTCCATCCTACAGTAACCTTCAGGACAAGACGACTGTCATATGCTCCACGTCGTGCAGCACCCACAACTGGTTCAAAATCCAGTAGTGCAAATGTTAAGATAGTGCGGTGGAATGCCTGTGGCCCCAATTCTTTGGTCTCTATCTTGGTTGCCTGTTTCCATGTTCAGCTCAAGGTGCTGGTTTTGACCTTGAAAGCCCTTCACGATCTGGGACCTTCATACCTTAGGGACTGCCTTTTCCCGTATAGCTCCTAAGGCAATTTTGGCATTTTCTGTTGCCGAGTCGGCACATTGGAATTGTTTTCTGGAACACACGAGGAACATTGCTAACTTTCAGCAGTTTCAGGAAAGTCTGCAAGACTGAACTGTTTAAATGAGCCTTAGAGAAGGTCCCGTTGTCGAGGTCCACAATGCTCTAGTGCTGGGGCCCGCCCCCTTGTTGAGCCTGAGGACCCCTTTGGAATTCTGACACAGGGGCACACCCACAAAAGGGCTGCCATAGGAGGCAGTGCCAACCACAAGAGATGGAGGTACATACAGATACACACATAGAGGGGAGTCCAGGTACAGAGGAGAAGAGGGGTAGTTTTAAAAAATACACTGGGAAGGAGCGGTGAAAGAGTGAAAGAAAACACTAGGTGGGCACCATAGTGCCCACGGGGAACACATTGGGTACCCCTGAACTATACATGCCATCTGATGTTCTCTTATGAGTGCCACTCCAAGGAAGACTTCACACCACAAAGTCCTATGCCAACTTTGCTGCCACATACACCCAGACAACACAATCACTGGTTCTAACAACATCAACTACACCATCTCAGGCTTATTTACCTGCTCATCTTCTAACAATCAGGGCCGGCTCGCTCACTAGACGAACTAGGCGTTCGCCTAGAGCAGGCTGGCCCTTAGGAGCACCAAACTGCACCCGCCCGTCCCCACCAAAAGCCCCTTTACCCAGCGTGGCCCATTCCTGCCTGTGGGAGGCTCCACTGGCAGGAGCTGGGAAAGGCGCTGGGCGGCTGGGCGAGGCAGCAGCCGGGCAAAGTGGGTCAGTCGGTGCGGAAATCCTCTGGCCGGTGGCAGCAGCAGCACCCGAGGGAGGGCGGCAGCCCTTACCAGCACCGGGGGGGGGGGATTCACAGGGGGAGGGGGCGGCGCATGGGGGGGCGCCAGAAGGGATCCTTGCCTAGGGTGCAAAATAAGCTGGGGCCGGCCCTGCTAACAATGTATATGCCATTTACCTACATGCTTGAAAGGAGATGGATGGGGTCTAAGGACAGGATTCTCAAAATCAGGGCACATCAGACTCCAGTTCTAACAGTTACCTATGTTGTTTCCCCCCCAATTGAACCAAAACAGATGATAACCAGGAACTAACTTGTCATTCTTTTGATCTGTTAAAAAAAAGTGTCCTCACTATTTTGCATGCTAATTTAACAAACCACTCCTATATATACAACTATGATCTGTAATTCCATTTCATTGTCTGACGAAGTGTGCCTGCACATGAAAGCTCACACCTTGAATAAAACTTTGCTGGTCTTAAAGGTGCCCCACTGGACTCTAACTTTGTTCTATTGCTTCGGACCAACACGGCTACCCACCTTGATCTAACAATGTCTTCAGTTCTCTACATAGGACAAACAGGTCAAACCCTACGACAAATGAAAAACGGGCACAAATCTGACATCAAGAATCAAAAGACTGAGAAACCTGTAGGAGAGCATTTCAACCTCCCAGGGCACTCAATGGGGGACCTCAAAGTAGCTGTTTTCTTGCCAAGGAATTTCAGAAACAGACTGGAATGGGAGACTGCTGAATTACAAGTTATTACAACACTCAGGACAATGGAACCCCCAGGACTTAACAGAGATATCGGCTTCTTATCTCTCTACACATGCAAAGTCACTCAGTTCTTACTTATACCCAGAAATTAAACTTTGTTGATCTTAAACAGGCCACTGGACTCAAACTTGGTTCTCACATCTGTTCGTAACTCCTTTATTATCTGTACGCCAATTTGCTGCTATTTACATGTCCTGCCATATTCGTTATTCCACTCTTAGCTGTATCTATTGCTCAATTGCTTATGCTTCTTGACTCTAATTAGCTCTTCCTGACAACTAACCGCCCCTACCTGCATGTAATATTTGAGGAAATCTGTTTCAATGTATGTGAAGAAATTCTTGCATGCACCCAGGGTTGAGCTTGGTTTGCCTCGGGGATGCCACTGGACTCTAGCTTTTGTTCTCACATCTCTTTGTTAGGCCTTGCATTTATGAGCTAATTTGCTGCCAGTCACTGATCTTGCTGGCCACCTGATCCAACTTCAGTCCTACTTTTGCATCTTGGCTGTGACTGGTCCTTCCTAAGGGCTGCCCCCCAACCTCTTCTTTACTGTAAGTGGGGCTTGAAGAGCTTCTGTTTCACTGTATCTGAGGAAGTGTGCTCGCACACATAAAGCTTATACTTTGAATAAAACTTTGCCGGTCTTCAAGGTGCCACTGGACTCAGACTGTGTTCTACTACGAAGTCCTGATCGGGGTACCTTCAGGCAGCCCCTGGTTCTCGTGTCCCAGTTTGCTATGGCCACATTTATTTATTTATTGGCACAAATAATGTCAGGCCCTGACTGGATAGCCCAGGCCAGCCTGATCTGTTGGGGATGCGTAGTGTATCAAGTCCCGACAAAGTCCGGTCAAGTCCAGACATGTCCAGGGACAACCGTGAGCATCGCTCCTAGAGACAATGGACTATGCGGATCCTAGCCCGCTCCAATCAGGGGGCTAGGTTCCTGGCCGAGAGCCAATGGAACTCTCGGCCACTGTAAATAACCTATTGGGAAGTGGGGGGGTGTTTTGGGTGGCGGTTTCTGGGGGAATATAAGCTGGCCTGCGAGCCGGCCAAAGTGTCTTGTTCCTGACTGAATAAAGTACGCTTTGCTGAAATCACTCTCCGTTTGCGTACTTTTCAGGATGCCAGCCTCTAGGAGGGACCTGGGGAGCCCCTGGTATTTCGCCTCATGTCCAGACTACAGAGTTCAGTTCCCCTGGAGAAAACGGATGCTTTGGAGGGTGGACTCTATGGGCATTGTACGCCATATTCATATGATAACACAATATACTGTACAAACTAAGCCAAGTTTTTACAAATCTTCATTCGTTTTTTTCTTTTCTTTTCACCCTTTTCCCAACTTTGTGGTGCCCCATTTGGCCCTGGTGCCCTAAGCACGTGCTTGGTCTGCTTCATGGTTAATCCGCCCCTGCCCAGGCTCCATCCCCCAAATCTCCAGGAGTTTCCCAACCTGGATCTGGCCACCCCACCCCCACCCCCCACCAGTAGCCGGGGGGGGGGGACCGGGCAACCTTATCATATCTTGAAAGCTAAACAGGGTTGGCCCTGGGCAGTGTTCCCTCTAAGCTGAGTCAGTGTGAGCTAGCTCACAGTTTTTTAGCCTCTGGCTCACACATTCTTGTCTTAGCTCAGGAAGGAGGGCTCCAGAGCAAACTAGTTTATGCAGTAGCCAAACCACTCACTCACAACGTTAATGCCAGTAGTTCACAAAGCAGAATTTTTGCTCACAAGACTCCACAGCTTAGAGGGAACATTGGTCTGGGTATTATTTGAATGGGAGACCAACAAGGAATACTAGGGTTGTTACCCAGAGGCAGGCAATGGCAAACCACTTGTGAATGTCTCCAGCCTTGAAAAGCCTACTGCGTCGCCGTAAGTTGGCTGCAACTGGATGGCAAAAAAGGAGACGTCAGTCGCTTCACGAAGGAGCAAAGTCTGTGCATTGGGAACCTTATATGTTTATTTCATTTAAACCAAGCATTTGGGGGAAGGAACAACAAAGTGTTTGTTTGCCGGATCCCAAATAATCACAGCAGGCCAGGAATCTGCTGGATCAGGGGGGCTCAGTGAAAACAAAACCTTCTTCCTTGACCTGCAGAATTCATGGGTGGCTGCGGCTTCTTAGCATCTGTGGGTTAATATCATGTAAAAAGAAAAGATCCAGCATTATTATGCTACTGAGGAATGCC